CCATTTCATTTGTCGCCGAGAATCAAATTGATTACACGACATTTGAAAAATGGCAAAAAGGAGGGAAAATTCAAAAGGTGGGTTGAGATGGAAGGTTGGTGTCTGAGTGGATCGAGTTCACGATAGCTCAAGTGGTAGAGCAGCGGCGTATCAAGCCGAAGATCGTGGGTTAGAATCCCGCTCGTGCCATTGACTTTTTTATCTCAACTGAAAACCTTAATTAATTAGTTATAATATTCTTGTTTTCATATTTTTTTAACAATGTTGTCTTTTTCCTTTTACTTAATTAACTTTCACTTAGTTACTTAATTTTAAAGTTTCAACGATTTTGTTAATGTTTTAATTACACTGTGTTTATAAAACCTTTAGTTCATATATATATTTTTATTTTAAAAGCTACTTATCCCTGACTCCAGGAGGAAAGCACATTAGTTTGGGTCAAAAATAGTCCTAGTAAAACTTACTACATGGATATTTATGCCTGTTTCTTAGGTTTGTATGTTGTGTTACTATCACAAAGAAATCAATACCCTGTCATTCATTGACCACAATTATCGTTAGAATAAACAAACTAACTTAAATTACTAAGGGCCGATATATGCAAGAAAAATGCCAGAACTCAAAAAGGAATAGTTTTTTAGAAGTAGTACAGCTGGATTTTTAAACTTTTATGTTTTCGCTTAAGTCTTGGAGAAACAAAAGACAATATTGATGAATCATGACAGTTTTTATTACCAACAACCGTAATTGCGTTAAGATTTGTTTTTATTTGAGTTGTGTCACTTTTCTTGTGGGAGTGCCAATTATTGATAGACCAAGATTACTTTATAGGTTCAAACCAAGTATCACACGAAGTACTTATTCGATTTTTTTTTTTTTTTTTTGACTGGGGCTTCCGATATCTAGGTTATTTCAGCCCCCAACTGTGTCTATATTCTTTTTACCCTTTCAAACACTACATTCATACAAATAAATACATTCATACCCATAAATACATCCATACAGTACACTCATTCCGATATTCTTATTGTGATAATTTTGTAATGTAGATTCATATAATTGAAAACATGCAGTATAAGCATATTTTTATGATATTAATGATTATTACAAGAGAAATAACTGCTTTGAGCACCTGACGAATCTTCTTATCATTGTTGCACTGCTGAAATTTAAGGAAAACTAGATTCTTTTCCGACGATCGGTATGTGTGATCTTCTGGTGGAAGTGTGGTCCAAATAATCACGAAGAAAGTGAATCAGGGAATGGCTAACGAATCCATCATAGAGATGATGTTCAATGTGTCAAAGCGATTAATCGGGTACAACATGCGTATTACCAGCCCACACCATAAAAAAAAAAGACGGATGGATTCGTCGCGGCTGCATTAACAATGTGGGCCGTTTCCTGCGAGACGGTTTTCTACAAAATATGTATGAAATCGTTTTCAGCTAACAAACCCTTTCGGCAATATTGCGACCGAACGGTGCCCGTGTAATTGTGACATTGCCCTTAAATGCCAACACTGGCGACAATGGCCCTCGTCGGACCTCTCGCATGTCTTAACTGCGACGTTTTGACACAAAGTGGTCTGTTGGTTTAGCATTATTGCAGTCTTTGACGAAAGCTTTTTGTCAAATTTATTTCTTTATTTATTTATAAAGGCGATCAACCACTAGGTTCATGTCCGCCTTGATAGATAATATTTAATGAAAATTAAATTTTATTAGTTAGGCTATTAACTCGTAAAAATTGAAATAGTTTGTCAATGTTCTTTTTTTGATTCTTAATTTTTGATTTATTGAATTGTATATATTTAAGGTTCTTTAGCTAGGGCAGTCTATTAGTAAGTGTTTTACAGTTAGGATTTCTTCACAGTTTTGACACTTGGGTGATTGGACTCGTGACATCAAATTACCATGAGTAAGACGGGTATGGCCAATTCTTAGTCTTGTTAAGACCGTTTCTTCAAATCTAGATTGTCTATTTGATGATATGAAGGACTAACACTACTTTTTATTTTTGTTGTCCGTTACATTGCTCCACATTTGTTGCCAGGATAACCAAATTTTTGTTTTAATAGCGCTTACTACGTCTTGATGTGACACTGTTGTTATTGGTAAACCACTCTCGATGGCCTCTTTAGCAGCCTGGTCTGCCGGTTCGTTTTCCGCTATTTGACAATGGCTAGGTATCCATATAAATAACACTTCACTTTCTATTGAGTGTAGATGTCTGAGAGACAAAAGTTTGTCTTGAATGATAGGTTTATCAGTAAATTTATTTTTATTGATAAAAGTGCTGAAAGTGAATCGGTGCATATGGCTATTTTATCATATGATGGTACTATTTGTGTTTAGACGTTTGCTTATGGCAATCATCTCCGCAGTATAACTGACCCATAAATTTGAGAGTGAGAACATGTATTTCCTACTGTCACAAACTACAATGGCCTTCAGTTCCTGTTCCTGAAGGGGATTTGGACCCATCTGTATAGCAAAAAGATGTGTGGTAGTTTGTTTAATAGCTCTAAGAATTCTTTCGCGTATACATAAAATGGGGGATTTTGGGAGTCGGAAGTACCCAGGGTGATATGTGATTTATGCTGTATTTCAAAATAGTGGGTAGAGTGATGGTAAGGTTATGTAAACTAATAGAGGCACGGATTGCATAATGTTCAATTTTGTAGTTTTTAATAGCTTCATTGTATGAAATGGGGTCTGCTGGGGAATTCGAGCAAAGGGTGGGAATGTTACGATAAAATTTTAGGGTAGAATTTTATATCTAAAATGCATCTCCGACGTTCCAAATCAGTCTCGGCAGCTTCAACGAGTAAGCTTACTGTTGGACTCGAACGGAAAGCACCGGTTGCAATTCGTATTTCCAAATTGTGAACACTATTTAGTAGCTGTAAAGTCCTAGGGCTTGGCAGATGCGCAGGCATTACATCCATATTCTATCTTTGATTTTATTAAGGCTTTATAAAATTTCAACATACAAGTCCTATCCGCAACCCACTTAGTGGAATTAAGCGTTTTTAGTAAATGTAGTGATGCTTAACATTTTGCTTTCGTTTCTTTTATGTGCTTAGGCCAATTCGAGGCTCTATCTATAATTACACCAAAATAGGTTGTCGAGTCAGTTAATTTAATTTGTTAATTATCAATAATTAGTTGAGGAGTATTTCGCGGTTTTCTTTTACAGAAAGGAACTGCGTTTCTTTTATGTTCTGAAATTTGAAAACCATGTTCCTTAAGCCATTCATTACTATCAGTTAACGTGTGTGGTGTTTAGTGACCGTTAGTCTATGATTATTCGGAAATCGTGAGATGCGGTCTGGTGTGAAGTAGGTTTCAGAAAACCATTTTTTTATCGTGCCAACGTTTCGATCTTTATTTAGATCATCTTCACAACACAACACAAAGAATGGCGCACATTTACGCAGAAAACAAACACTTTGAGTGAGTAGAAATACTTTGATTGAATATAAAAAATATTTTTTTGCATTGTATAAATTCACTTTTTGCCACATCCTACATGTATTTGTTAAATTTAAACAATGTTTGTAAATCCCAGGCCCTGAAGATGATCTAAATAAAGATCGAAACGTTGGCATGATAAAGAAAATGTTTTTCTGAAACCTACATCACACCAGACCGCATCTCACGATTTCAGAATAACTATCATTTAACGTTTTTTGTATGATCTTTGTTAGTGAGTTAAGAAAATATTAAAGGGGCTGGATACACTACTTAAACATCAAAAACATCTTTTCTACGATTTGGTTTAATGGAAGAAAATATCACTGTAAGGAGCTGCAATAATTATTAAATTACTTTACTTATCGCCAATCTAAGAATAGAAATTATTTCATGACTATTGCGGGATTCTCCATCGAAATGCAACTTTTAGACCTTTCTACATTTGTATATTAAAAATCAGGTCTATGGCAAATTTATGAGATTTTAAGCCATAATTAAATATATTTTTCATTACTTTAGCCAGAAAAAAATGTTATAAATAACTTTTCCTTCTTCGAGTTCTTTGCAATAAAAATTGAATGTTTTAAATCTTCTGCTACATCACATATGGTACAATTAGGGAATCATCTCTCTTGCATGAGTTTTGTAAAATTTCTGCGAGCTTTCGTAATATGAATCCATATATGTTTCGCGGTCATAATTGACCGTATAATTATTTTAATTAATTATTCTTTACATTTGAACTAAGACCTTAGGTAAAAAGAATAATTAATTGAAATTATGAATGCTCCCTTCTTATTCTCACTTTTTGAGTTATAATATTAAGTCTAAACAGTCTATTATTTAGATTACAACACATTTGAAGAAATTTTTTAAAAAACTCACTATTTAAGAAAGATAGCAATTAAATTGGAATTATGCGTCTTGTAAGGAGACTTCCTGGAGACTGTTTTCGCACAACCCAAAAGATCACTTTCACCAAAAATAAATTGACCAAATCAATTCTTGTCAACATTTCGAATTCGAACGCTCAAACAGCTGATTAAAACTTCAAGAAGAGATTAATTTTGAAAGTAATTTCTAATTATTCCCATCGCCTTATCAAACCTGAACACTCACAGGATATTTTCTGGTCAACTGTAAGCAATTTTGTTTCCTTTCAGTCCTTCCTACTAAAACTAGTTTTAAAAACATGTTTTTTGTGTTATGTATATATAAAATTATTAAATAAATAAAATTAGTCTTTGAACATGCAGAAAGACAAGATTCATTGCGTTCAGAAAATTACAGATTTGTTGAAATGAAGTACATAATACATACAAAAATTTAAAAATGTAGCAATGTAATGACAATAATTAATTTTAATTAAGTAAAATGGGTATATTAAATTACATAGGTAACAGTAGATTGGAAATAAAACAAAGAATTATTGTTGTTTTTATACGCTTGATCAAAACGTAATAAACGTTACAGAACTTCATCAAGCTAAAAACATTAATTTTATGTAATAAAGTCTTTTTATTTTAAAAATGTACAACAATTGAATTTCATGTTTTACGTCAATTCTTTACTATTGATGATGGTACATAGGTACATGGTGGACAGCATGCCCTACCCTTTTGACTTCGGCATTGAAACCATTTTTGTGATCAGCTGTGTAATGGACTTCCCTGACTGTACCATCAGCTTCTTTCAGCATGTAGAATCCTTTGACTTTGTCTCCTTCCCTAGTCTCGTGATGAGATTTAACGTCTCCCGTATGCTCGTCGTGTACTTTGTATTCGTAGCTGTAGTGGGGTGGGGCCTAAATTAAGTAGGAAATGATTTTAAACTCTTATCAAATAATAAACCTTTTAAATATTGATTTTACGTAGTAGTCATGATGTTCCTCATGGCCTTGTTCTTCTTCTACTTTTTCGTGGTGCACTGGGACTGGTTCTTCTTGGTGGACAGCATGTCCCACCCTCTTGACTTCAGCGTTGAAACCATTTTTGTGATCGGCGGTGTAATGGACTTCCCTGACTGTACCATCAGCTTCTTTCAGCATGTAGAATCCTTTGACTTTGTCACCTTCCCTAGTCTCATGCTGAGATTTGACGTCTCCCGTATGACCATCGTGGACTTTGTATTCGAAGTTGTAATGAGGTGGTGCCTGTAAATAAATAAGAGTAGTTAAATTGGTTCAAAGTAAATGGATTTTCATGAACTACATAATAATCGTGATGTTCGTGGAGCCCTAGACCTTCTTCGCCTTCAAGTGGAGCGCTAGACGCAACGACGATACAGGCGGTAAAGACGATGAAGGATTTCATTGTTTGTTCGTGGCTACTCGTAAGTGACTGATGCTAATTTACGTTTATGGCTCAGTTTTTATAAGAAACACTCGGAACTGGACCGTACAGGATTAAGAAACTTATCCTTAATTTTAAAGAATGTAAAGAATGTGTGTTGAGTGAATGGACGACGACGGAGTTCCGATATAAAAACTTCCGCAAAAATTTAACCCTTCACCCCAAATCCACTTATCCAACACCTTTCTTATCACATCATTCTTTCAATTCCCACGCATCCTTCGAAGCGGTTGTGGCCAAGAGATCTCTTGAGAGAATTTTTCCTCGTGAAGGTACACCCTAAAACGAGGGAATTTATTTAAATGTATGCGCCATTATTAATATTACTTATACGATGACGATTAATAGTTTATTATACAATAATTTCAATAAAAAAGACAATATGAAGAAGAAAAATAAATTAAAAGTAATCAAACTATTTCAAAACACAAAAGAATATTTTTCAACACTTGAATGAAAAGTTTTTAATTCATAAAATAAAATTGGTATTCGCAAAGTCCTCAAAATATGGTAGGTTCTTCGATCTCAGAAATTCGTACTTTGCCGAAGGTCTTGTCGTCTTTTAGTAAACTTTCACTGCAGCAAAGGTAGTCTGGCCTGTTGGAAGATTTCGCGCTCCAATACCAGGTGGTCCACAGTTTCAGGTGGTGCTTGATTGCATGAGCAACCAGGACGGCTTATGATGGAGAATCGATGCAGATGCTCCGCCATTCTGACATGCCCCAATCGAATTTGAGTCAGCCTATACTCTATTTTTACGTGATTAAGTGAAAAACTCTTTTCTTTGTGGCCCAGGATGGTGTTACTCCATAAGTTCTTCTACACCTGCAGGCTGCGCTCACATTTCTGCTCGACTGCGGCCAGAGGAACCCTGGTTTAGAAGGGAGACAGATACGGGCAGATCTTCGAGAAGCAGCCATTAGCCATCTGATCGGGGAAATCTTGAATGATGGAATGTCACTGCTAGGTGACTTCTCCAATCAAGTGTAAAATGATAGATTTTCACTTCTTAACTCATTTACTAAGTGCGACTAAAATCACAATTGTGAAATAATAAATTTTAAAAAAACTCTCTCGTTCACAATCCTGCTACTTGTTAAATATTTTCTTCCAACAGTAAAATTTCATCATATAAATAGTTTTGAATGTAAAAATTAGGTGTTTGGTATTATTTGTTGATCCATTTCCGTATTCATTAATCATTTAACACTAAGCTTTTTTGCCGATTCTTTTGTAATATTTTATTTTTTACCCGTTCGAAAAGACCAGCGTAAAATAAATAATTCTCATTTGTGAAATTAATTATAAAACACCATTTGTTTATGTGTCATCGTCATTATAAAATGCTCAAAATGAATGGGGATAGTGCGAATTTTGTAGTATTTACTTTTCCTAGCATTTTTATTTTATTTTTATTATAAATTACATTAAAATTTATTAGACATAATTATGTTTCTACTGAAGGAATATTTAATTAATGGATTTTGAAAAATAACAAAATAAAAGGTTTTAATTTCATACTTTTGTTTATGGAACACAATAAATTTTTAAAAACTTAATACCGTCTATACTGTCCTCCGTTAGCCAGAACCTCTGTGCACTGTTAGGCATACTGTTAATAAGGTCGTCATTAATTTCTTAAGGAATTTCACTCCATTGTTGCAACGTTGCACTCGGATGTTGCAGGTCAACTTGCTGTGGATGGTGATCGAAAAGCCATCTCTGCAACGCATCCCACATGTGCTCAATGGGATTCAGATCCGGAGGCAATGGGGGAAGGGGCAGATGAAAAATTCCGATGTTTTCTAAATATTTACAAACAACTCTGCCTCTATGAGGACTGGCATTGTCATCCAAATTCGATAATCCCTGCCAATGAGACCCTAGTTTGAGGGATGTATTCCTCGATAACTTCTTGAACATAGCAGACTGCGGTGAGGTTGCCTTCGACAATATGGAGTCCAGTTCGCCCTCCAGAGTAAAACCCAGTTCAGACCATTACACCACCTCCTGCAAACTGCAATGAACGAACTGGGGCGTTGTACGCACCCCTGTTGTCGGTAGATTCTTCGGCACCTGCTATCAATATACAGACAGAAACGCGAATGATCAGTAAACATAACAGCATTCCAATTGGTGTTCCCTTCTAGGCGCTAGGACACCATATTCTCCTCCGCTGGTGGCGGGCTGTTGCCGCAGGGCATACTATGTGAGGCCAACTTCCCAAAAACGATACGAATCATTTGTGTTGATAATCATTTGTGGCCTTGCCAAAACATGTTGTACTTCATTTAGGATCTAACAATAGCAATGACAATATTTCTGTCCTCCCTTAGCGTGGTAATGCGCTGAGATCCACTATCAGGCATCCTATTGGTGCTTCCAGTCTCTCGGAATCGGGCTAAAGCCCGGGAGAATACGCTATGAGAGACGTCATCTGCCTCTGCAATAATTCACTTGCCGGTCACCTCGATTACTCATTTGTACAATAAAATTACGAACTTCTGTTTCAAGATGATCTTTCCTTGGTTGAAGAGAATACAACTGGATTAAAAAGAAGAAAAGACGAGAATAGATGTTTGTTTACATAATGACTATCTTCATATTTCTATTCTTAAGTGAATCCGTTATTAAAATGAGGTGTAATTTTTGTTTGTATTTTCTATTTTGTTTTTATGTTTTTATTACGAATAAATTACAATTATCCCTATTCATTTTTGGGCAGTTTACCTTCTGTAACCGCACGAAAACGAAAAGTGGTACAACTTCCTTCCACAAAGCCGGAAGGTTAAATGGCAGTTAGGTTGATCTTTTCCTCCTTATATATATTCGATGTGACGAAGAATTAGCCTGAGAAGAAATTCCATTCTGGCCAGGATGTTATTACATTACGACCTTCACCCACTTGCCAGACACGCTAGAAGAATCAGTTCGATAATACAATGATTTATATAAATTGGGCAAAATGGTAAAAAAAAGCTTAGACGGTTTTTCTTTGGCTGTATATTTTGTTGGGTAATGTAAATCAGATTTTGAACTGGAATTAAATTATAATTTATATTATACATTGTTAAATAATTTATATATATTTATTGAAAGCATACTTTTACTAGTTTTATACGTTTTAATAGTCTTGCTCTGAAAATGCTTTGAGCCACTATTGTGGAAATGATTTTTCATGTTTGAATAAAGGTTTGTTGAATAATCTAATTATTATTGGTATTTGAATTATTGATTTAATTATCCTTTAAATTATCTTCCCTCTTTTTCTGAAAGTTTGACTTCGTTCAACGAGAATACTCCCTGAAGTTCAACAATAAAAATAAATAAATTTGATCAAGTTCTGCATATAATTCAAGTATAAAGCTTCGACTTTATATAACTTTAAAAAATTTATAAAAGCTTGTTATCACATATTGCATATAAATTAGAATATAACTGGTTAGATAAGAAATTTTACATAACTTGATCCTAAAACAAATTTTGACTTTATTTTTTATTTATTCAGAAATCGTGAGATGCGGTCTGGTGTGATGTAGGTTTCAGAAAAACATTTTCTTTACCGTGCCAACGTTTCTATCTTTATTGAGAACATCTTCAGGGCTCAAAGTGTTTGCCTTCTGTGTGATTGTGCCATTCTTGCGTGTCGTGTTGAGACTGCCCATTTATTTATTTTTTATCCTTGTTGTATTATATTTCATTTTACTCTACTTTAGGGGTTAGGTTACTTTAAGTAGGATTAGGGACAGGCCACGTTAGGTAAGATTAGGGTCTGTTATGTGGTAGGCTTAGGTTCAGGATTAGGTACCGTTAGTTAAGGTTAGGTTTAGGAACCAGCCCCAATTTTTTTCACAGATCATTACGTTTGATTTCCCCATATTTACAGGATTAGATTAAATAAATTTACAACACGGTATGTTAAGGTTTTAAGAGTAATGACATATTCCTGTAGTGTAAAACGAATAGAAAGTTATCTATTAAAATCTAATCTAAAGTTATCTTATATAATCTTTGATTATATTTCCTTCATTGCTGGAATTGCATCTATTTAAAATAAATTAAGAAACAAACCAGATTATCGTTATTAAAAAAACAGCCGTGTTAGCGACAAAACACATGTCTCAATAAATTTCACAATATCTATTTGATATTGTTATTCAAAATAAAACACCATTTACGTGTCAAAATTATATATACAAATGTGAGAAATAATAGATTTTTGAGAGTGCGCCCTACAAAGCCTCAAAGAGTTTAGTAGGGCTTCACTACCTGGACCAAAAATTGGCCTCCTTTCGGTACCATTGTTTCCAGAACGTCGTGATCAAATGAACGAAGTTTTGTGAATTTTTTTAGATTGATGGGAATTAAAATAGTATAATGTTGAAAATATGGTTTTAAAAATTCATATTTTTATCAAATTATATCCTCCGTTGAATGTTATATATTTATCCATTTCCAAAGAAAATGCACCCCAAGGGTTCACATAACATCGTAGGTGAATTACCTTGTAATAAATGTCATTAATTCAAAATATGCACAATCTATTGTTGAATAATATTTAAAAAAGCACAATCATATACTTCACATTTTGAATTATATACTTGACATTTTATGTGAAGCCCGACAAACTGAAATAATGAATTTATTGTTGGTATTTGAAATATTGATTTAATTATATTTTAAATTATCTTCCCTATTTTCTCTGGAAGTTTGACTCTTCGTTCAAAGAGAATACTCCCTGAAGTTCAACGGTGAAAATAAATAAATTTGATCAAATTCCAAGTATAAACCTTCGACTTTATAGAGAACTTTAAAAAATTATAAAAGTTTGTTATCACATAGATCCAGATTTTTTAATTACCATCATATCTTTGTTTTATTTATTAAATCATATGTCTTAGGCAGTATGAACATATAATTAAACCAATCGTTAATACCTAAATTGAACTGCGATTGGCAAATTGTATTACCATAATGATTTATTCAATCATCTACGTTTCCATAAACACCTACTCAATTAATTCAAATATGTGTCACTACACAACATTTTAAACAACATTTAAATGTCCACTTTTAACAATAATTTTTTGGTGGGTTTTCAGCATTTCTGTACAAGAAAATTTAATAAGAGTTAATAGACCATTTATTCTATTAGCTATTGGCATATACAACGCCCGATACTTTTCCTCAAATTGTAGAAAACATCACTTACTATTTTCTCAGATATTCAGCACTATCGACGGCCTACTTCAATTATGAATTACTCGGAATTAATGTGTGATGATTAGTGGCCGGTTGTCGAGTATTATTCAGAAATCGTTAGATGTGGTCTGGTGTGATGTAGGTTTCAGAAAAACACTTTCTTTATCGTGCCAACGTTTCGATCTTTATTGAGATCATCTTCAGGGCTCAAAATGTTTGTTTTCTGCGTAATTGTGCCATTCATGCGTGTTGTGTTGAAAGTGCCCAGGATACGCAAGAATGGCACAATTACGCAGAAAACAAACATTTTGAGCCCTGAAGATGATCTCAATAAAGATCGAAACGTTGGCACGATAAAGAAAGTATTTTTCTGAAACCTACATCACACCAGACCGCATCTAACGATTTCTGAATAATACTGGGAATTAAGTTGGCCGCATTGGAAACTGAATTTTATCATATTTTCTAATTTTGTATTAAGAGAATCAGGGCTAATTTGAAAGCAAAGAAATCACACAGTTTTGTCATCAAGCTTTCCACCATTATATTCCCTTCATCAGGACTTCGAAACTACTATTAACTCACAATATGAACATTTACCAGTATTGACACTTCTGGTTTCAAACATAAAACAGTGAAATTTTTTATTGATAGTGGAACGAGATCTTCGGCCCATATATTTTATATCGGAATTGAAATATAGTATATCCTTAATAAATAATAAAATGGTTACATACGATTATGTCTAATTGAGTTCTCAAAGACTTCGATATTTATAGGCCATAAAATATTTTCAATTTGCTTGAAAATTTTTGTACCGAAATAGTTCATTTTAAATTTTGTTTTGCGGATTTGTATAAATTAATGATTCTTCCTTGAATATGATTATATACATAAAACATGACATTATTATATATTTGTATAGTATATTACAAATTTACACAGGATTTAACTGTTTACATAGACTTATTAATAATAATGGTGGTATTCAGGTACGCGGTGGACGGTATGTCCTATTCTTTTAACTTTCGCAATGAAACCTTTTTTGTGATCAGCTGTGTAATGGACTTCTCTGACTGTACCGTCGGCTTCTTTCAGCGTGTAGAATCCCTTGACTTTGTCGCCTTCTCTTGTCTCATGATGAGCTTTGACGTCTCCTGTATGTTCATCGTGGACTTTGTATTCAAAGTTGTAATGAAGCGGTGCCTAGAATGAACAGAAAAATTAAATTAAATCTATTACCAACAACAGTTTCGTAATATTTAAGTCGTTACGGACACGCTCGTGATGGCCGATACCTTCTTCGCCATGTCCTCCAGATTGTGCTGCTGCCACAGCAATGACGCCGGCGGCGAGTAAAAGGACAAATGAGATCATTGTCAGACCGTGCATGCTCACAAGTGACTGATGCTCATTTACGTTCGACTTTCTGTTTTTATAGGAAACGCACGCAACTAGACCGTATAGTATTGAGAAACATTCTTTTAATTTATATAACGGTGTATATTCTACTATTACTAGTGTTGGGTGGTATTCCTTTTATCGTTGGATTGCGGGATTTCCAATCATTCAAAATTGAAACAACAGATTACTCATTAAATTCAATAGAAATTATGAATGATGGAGTGAGTGTGGAGTTCAATCATTTTTTTAAAAAGATGGTTCCTACTCACATTAAGTTGTTTCGCAACAATCCGTATTTCGAGCCCTTTAGCTCATCGTCAGGTTGAAGGGTTTCTACAAGCACGTCTCTCGACAAGAATTGCAAAGTATTTTAAGCAAGTAAGCACTTTTGCAATTCATGTCGAGAGACGTTTTGTAGAAACCCTTCAACCTGACGATGAGTTAAAGGGCTCGAAATACGGATTGTTGCGAAACAGGTTAATGTGAGTAGGAACCATCTTTTTAAAAAAAAGCATTAAATCCAAGGTTGGGTGTGAAGAATGCCGAACTATTCAAGACCAGAAAACCACCAAAATCAGTTTTGAGATTCGTATGATTTTCCCCTATATTTAACTTTTATAATCCATACATAGTAATTACATATACCCGTATGTATGGTGAATGGCACAACATAAATGCTGCAACAATAAATAAAAAGTGATCAGTAATAGTAGAAACAAATGGAGAACATTTTAAAGGGGACCAACATATTAAGAGCATAGGCTCGGTGTAGGTGGAGGGTGTAAACATGTTAAATCGTTATGGAATTCCTCATGTATGATTATACTGAAAAGGTAATTAATTGTTACAACTGTGTACATTTATGTTCAAATTTTATGGAGAAGTTTTTGATTTAAATTCTCTCATCTTAATGTAGAACAGGCTTCATTCCTTACGATTTTTTTTTAATTTATGGAACTGTTCTATATCAGATTTTATCTTAATTTTTTTATGGATGGTTGTTGTTAAGAGCCTAATATCGTACAAAACTATGCAATACTTATGTGTTGCTCATTTTTACTTATTTTGCATTATTCAACATCATTTTTTAATTGTTGTCGTTTTGATTTTTAAATTCATTCATCTGACGGATACAATTTACAGTTATTATTAAATTGTTGCACGATTGCACTGAAGGACGATTTTCCTGGACAAAAAATATGATCAAAATGAAAATATTGTAGCCGGCACTACAGGCGAAGAGTCATCAATGTTGGCCAGAAATGGCCAATTTTCCTCCTGAAAAACAGATGAAGTAAAAAAAGAAGTCAACAAAAATTCAGTTCCATCAACCGATATATGGGCAGACTATGCCGACAAGTTTCTAGTACTCCAGATACCTCATCCCAATGTGAAACATAATAGCTGCTTAATAATGCTTTTATCGTGGTTTTTTTCTTTCGAAAATGTCTAGATATTGTAACGTTAGCAATTATGATTATGTAGTCTAGTCATTTTCGATCGTTTTGTTCTGTTTGTCCTCGCTGGGCCAATTCTGCCTATCTTGCACTGAAAATAGCGAGAAGCCAGAACCCGTCACACTGATCAAACTAGTAAGGATAGACAGGCTAAAATGGCCGAAACGACCAAATTTGCATTGGTCTTTTTTGGTTGCATGCATTGCAAGGTCGTTCCCAATCCCAAGCGCACAAACTTAACATCAAAATTGACTACATGCCAAAAATGTGTCTGACATCCAAAACAGCGAGGATAGCCAGATCAGAATGATTGGAAATGTCTACCTCTGAAAAAGATGTAATTTTAACATCTACATTATTTAGAATTTGTATCTGGGACTATATCTCGACAGTAGACTGACGTGAAATCCTCGCACAAGATTTAAAAAACCACAACTTAATGCAAGACTTGGGCTAAAACGAAATCGACGTTGACAACTAAGCCAAAGCTAACACTATATAAGACATAGGTACATGAGACCAATAAGGACATACGGAGTGGAACTGTGGGGCACTGCCAAGCCTTCCAACAATATTAAAAAACGCATCCAGTCCTTCCAATAGAAAGTCCTTAGATAAATTGTCAAAGTACATTATTATGTCACTCGCCTCACTATACACAAAACATTCCTTTTCCCGACGAACTGATCCGGTCCAGATTCCAAACCTTCCACACCAACCTTTCGAACCATTGTAGCCATACTGCTTGAGTCGTCTCCACTCATTCCCATCCTGACAACCGCCACTTCGGCTCAACGGTCGGTCGTCTCGGGACCTCCTTGACACCTAACCATACATTGAGTGCCAGCAGTGGCTCCTCAAAGCTCTGTTCTACCGGTGCAGTGCTGACATTAGTGCTAGTGTTGTGCTGTGCGATAGATCAATCATGTGTACATATTTGTATTGTATACGAGCATAAATTTACAGTTAAAAACAAATTTTATTGTATTTTGTAAAGATGTGGTGGTTAAACGTTTGTTGAACTGTTCAACGCTTAACTGTTTACTGGGTCCGTTTGTCCTTGCTGGTTTGCGTTTCACTCGCCCTTTTCGGTTTTTGCCACCACCAGCGAGAAAATGAGTGAATTGCTTTTTTTAGTTATGGTTCTTGAGGTATCGAGTATTTTAATAAAACTCCGTACAACCGCGCTATAATACCCTTGTGGTATTTTTTTGTCTTATTGGAAGTACGTCCGGCCGGCTAACCAGAGCATAAACCGTTCCTGAGGATATGTCGCCACCCGTCCAGGAAGCGCTGGAGCCTTCGGTCACCGGAGCTTTGCATACCAGACCAAGGACGAATAACAGAGTAGGACAGCAATGCTCTATTTGAAATGTTCAAATCCTTGTTTCCCAAGCCTTCGGATGCGTGTAATCAGTGGAGAAAGTGTCAGCATCAAAATAATATCTTTTAATCTCTTTTTCGCTTCAGTGAATATTACCGATAAAGACGATCGCGTCGGCACCAGAAAGAAAATCCCTCTATGCCTTCCGCAGTCGTGAAAACGCCCATAGCACAGCGTGGAATGTGAAATTATGTAATAAATGGGCTCCCGCGTGATTTCCCGACGTAATTGGTCATTTTGGGTTATGTTCTCAACCATTGGAAATTATCACGCATAATCATCATTTGAATACTTAGATCATTAATAAAGTTTAATCAATGAATGAAAATGAAACGGGCAACCATCGATCACCACCCACGTAGAAACCAACAATCAAACGACAAAATCGCTTTATCATTCCGAATGATACGAGAAAATGATCATTGGGTTATCTCACATGAAGTTCACTCATTAAAAAGAGACAGTTTTTTATATACTATATAATCTTATATGTACATTTTTTCATTAAAAAATTAAAATTAATGTGAAAAACAAATCTAGATGGACTAGAATACTGCTGAATTTTAGTATGTAGACCAAGTCTAAAACATCTCTTAGCCATTGAAGTACATAAAGGCCTTTGTGCTCATATGAAAACCTGTTATCAGTATTGTCCTTGATCCTTTTTGTCGTCCAGACGAAACTAATTAGGAAACAACAGTGCAACTTTTCCAGATTGCTACGATACCGTAACATTCGAAAAGAACAACTGTGTGACACGAGAATTAAAATGAGCAAAAATTTCGATTTTTAATTTGGATATAATTTACCATCTATGCTGGGTAACAATTCGACCATTTTGTATTTAATCTTTTACAACATAATTGAAACATAAGATTTTAACGGATCTTGCCCCTTTTGTATGTGTGTATGTATAAATAAAATATTTAAAAACAGGTTTTAGGTTGTTTTTGCATAATATACAAATGCAAATGAGAGAACATTATTTTGTTATTTTTGTTAAACAGTTTACCGAAGAATGTAGTGAAGGCCAGAGTCAATGGTAATTCTTTAGAAAGGCTATGTGTAATGATGATAAACCGTCCTTTTCTTTTTTTCATAGCAAGTGAATCGTATAAGTATAACGAATGTTGTTACAAAAAGGATATTGTTTACAATTTAAAAAAAATGGCAATAGTTTACGCTTAAACGTGACCTGTTCTGCCCCGTGCTGATTTATAAACGGAAAAGTTTGACATTAATTTATTGCATCAAGGCACTTATTGACCTACGAACAGACCGCTAGTTATTACGAAAGGGTCAATTGAACAACGTAGTTTGAAATGCACGCAATTGTTAAATTATTATTTTCTTCTCTATTGTCCATCTCTCTCTCTCTCTCTCTCTCTCTCTCTCTCTCTCTCTCTCTCCCCCTCACTCCCTCTCTCCTAACCGTTTATCTGTCCACCTCTTACCATAGACTTCATTTCGTTTCTTATCTCTCTCTTTCCTCCTTCTAACTCCCTCAACCTCTGACTAGCTGTCCCTCACTCACTACTATTTCTCTCTCTCTCTCTCTCTCTCTCTCTCTCTCTCTCTCTCTCTCCTTCTTCCTCACTCCTCCCTCCCTCACACCCTCTCTCCCTATCCATTTATTTGTCCATCTCTTACGGTAAACTTAATTTCTTTCTTATCTCTCTCATTTCTCTTTCTATCTCTCTTACCCTCCGACTAGATGTCCCTCACTGTTTCTTTCTCTCTCTCTCTCTCTCTCTCTCTCTCTCTCTCTCTCTAATAAAAAACATTAAACTTAAGTCAAAACAATATATGCGAAATTCCAATTCATATATCTAAAACATTTACGACCATAGCGTTTTATAATTTTCCAAATTGTATTTCCTCTGAGAGAAGTTTTCGCACTTTCAAAATAATATACCTAAAACAACTGATGGAAAAGAACTACAACCATCAAGAAAACATAAAAAAATTAATATTATGTTAAAAATAATTGGTTAATTAATTTAAAGTCATGTCTAACTAATTCAACAAAAATTTAGATAGATAGATAGATAACATGCTTTATTTACATTAAAGAGAAGCGTTACATAATTATACAATATTAAAAGCGTTTTACAGCATGGATGCTTATCCGTCTGCCGGAAGTTGGCTGTTTTTTTTTGTTTTTTT